ATTAGGGCAGAATCTACAGGTGAGTAGACAAATTAACTCACATTTATCTTACTGAACAGTTGACCCATTACATTCGATGACATATATATAAAAGACTGCATTTGGAATATGCTGGTGGTTTCCCAGACCACCGGGTAAAGGTAAACCTATATACAGTATCTAAGCATGTTGTTCAAAGGTACTCTTTGTAACTACATCTCTCTCACAATAATCTGTTAAAGATTAAATATTAATACAGTCAATTTCTTTTTATCTCACAATCAGACTTACGAGGCTGGCAACTGCATGACTCTGTGTTTTAACCATTCAGTAACTTACTGAGAGCGCTATGAGAACCCATTTGGTATGAAGGCAGCCTGTGCTGAGGAAATGCAATCATGGTCTCGTCATATAGGTATCATGCTTTTATCGGGGAAAACTGTAAATCACAACTAGCAGACGTAACCCTTCAGATACTGGTGAGCTGGATTATCAAGCAGTTTATTTCAGGAAACCCCAAGTGTTAACTCCCAATGAATGAGTTCATCCAAACTTCAGAGGGTAAGAGGTACCACAACAGCCTCAGAACTGCCTGGTTTAGGGAGGAACAAGGTAAACAAACAGCCAAGAGTCCAAACCATCACCCACTGATGTTTCTTGGAGAAACAGCAAGGTAGGACTACATTAGATTACATTGTGATGCCTTCCTCGCTTTAATGGCCTGCATTCACCATGTAACTCATACTTGCAGAGAATGTCAGTTAAATAAAGCATCTTAGGACTATTTTCATCTGTGCTACATGGAGGGGCAGTGCCTTCAGACTCAAGGTGTAAAAGACACTTACAAATTGCATGACTTTGATCATTGCTGTCAGAGAAGCTTTCAAATGTAGCAAATTAAACCAAATTGTATGAGAATGTGTCAGGTCAGTAACAGACAATATTACAACACTGTGTTAATTCAGATGAAGCAGGAAGACAATAAAGGGGCCTCTTTATAATGCATTCGCTATGTGTAGATAACAGGGTTAAAAGGTGTCTCTCAAATGGAGAGCTCACCAACACGTGAATGCACCATAAACATACAACTGTTTCTGAAGAATACATGCGCCCAGCCAATTCAAGTGATCTTACCGTGTCTGCCATTACGTCAGTGACAATTTGGAAAATTATCAATTTCAAAAATGAAGTATTTAGTGAGTACAATCTTCACTAATGGACATTCAAGACCATTTTGGCGTTTCGCTTACTGCAGACACTTGAGCACAAATCCTTTCTCCTGATGACATATCCCACCAATTTGTGTTATGTAGTGTTATCCAGAACTTTTTCCTCTCTGCGTTTGGATAATTTAGTTCCCGTTAATTCAAATTTCTCATAACTAAGTCTTACCTGAGCATGGTGTCCAGGGTGTTTCCTATGGTTTTGAAATTAAAATGAATTTTCTGCTAATAAGTCTCAGACACTAAGTAGGAAAGCTTGCTGTGAATGACATAAGCCACTGGATCGATCCTTTGCTCCGCTGGAACTTCTGTCTGTTTTTGAAAAGCATTAATGTATTGCAACATCAGACATGCTTCACATTTAAACTCACAAGACGTGAAGTTACTATGAATAAAGTAGAATAGTAAAATATACATACACTAAACTGACATATAAACTGATATGATACTTCATCTGTCACCAACTGCCCCTTCACAAGAATGGTTCTTGATGGCTTTACGGGAGGAGACAGAGGATGGTGGTGGAGAGGTGTATTTCACACTGTAGGCCCTTGACCGCGGTTTTCCTCAGGGATCGGTGCCAGGTCCACTTTTGTTTATCATTTATTTCGTTGATTTGGATAAGAAGAAAGGTGGCATGGTTATTAAGTTTGTAGGTGACACCAAAATTGGTGGCATAGTGAACAGTGAAGAAGGCGATCAAAGATTACAGAGATCATGATCAATTGGGTCAATGGGCTGAACAGTGGCAGATGGAGGTTCTTTTGGATAAATGTGAGGTATTGCATTTTTGTAATACATACAAGGACAGGATTTATACAATTAATGGGTAGGGCCTTGGGTAATGTTGTAGAAGGGAGACCTAGAGGTTCAGGTACATAATTCTCTGATATTTGCGTCACAGGTGGTTAGACAGAGTGGTTAAGGAAGTGTTTAGCACGTTTGCTTCATCACTCAGACATTTGAGTTGAGAAAGGTGGGACGTCATGATTGTACGGGATGTTGGTGAGGCCTCTGCGGGAGTACTGTGTGTCGTTCTGGTCACCCTGTTAGAAGAAGGATATCGTTAAACTGGAGAGGGATCAGAAAAAAATTACCAGGATGCTGCTGGGAATGGTGGGTTTAAAAGGTATAAAAATAGATTGGAAAGGCTGAAATATTTTTCACTGGAGCATAGAAGGTTGAGCGGTGACCTTGCAGAGGTTTGTAAAACCATGGGGGACAGTGATATGGTGAATAGCAAGGGTTTTTTTCCCGAGGGTAAGGGAATTCAAAACTAGGGGGCACATTTTTTAAGGTGAGAGGAGAAGGAATTAAAAAGAACACAAGGGGCAGCTCTTTTTTTTTTTTTTAAACACTGTGTGGTTCATCAGTGGAACGAACTGCCAGTCCAAGTGGTCAATGTGGGTACACAGTCAACATGGAAAGGACACTAGCTAAGTACACAAATAGGAAAGGTTGGGAGGGATTTGGGCTAAGCACAGGCAACTGGGACTAGGTTAATTTGGGAACATGGCTGGCATGGACTGGATGGACCAAAGGATCCGTTTCGATGCTGTATGGCTCCATGATTCTATAACTGCTCGTATTCCTTGGATTTTAATTATTAGTCAGGTTAATTCAAATGGTTGCTGCTCACCTGTGGAAACTAAATCACACATCTTTACGTGAACTCTGTGGCCTGCTTCCTCCTTGAAGTAAACTGGCTCAGAGACAACAAATCAAAATTTCAGTAACATTTTTATCTTATCAAGGGGTCATGACTTTAATTACAGCTGATTTAACCTCCTTATATGACATTATTACACTAAATCGAGCACCACTCGGCCAAAACCAGACAAAAACACTCCATTTCTGTCAAAAGTTCTTGCAAAAAACAAGTTCTTCTAAACCACACAAATACAAATTAAGATCGACTAGATCACTCTAATGTCTGCTCACAAATCTTTTTATCATTTAATTTCAAAACCATGAGTGGAATATAAATATCAGTGCTTTCACACAAAGGATAAGAACAGTATCAAACACTAATCTCACTACTCACCGGAAAGCATTCTAAACCACTATACTTGGAGAAATTGCCCAAAATAACTTCAGACAGCAAATAACTTCTCAGCAAAATCAAAATTATGCAAAGATGAACAGGAATAAGAATGACTAGAAATAAATACATTGTCTGCGATAGAGACTTGGCAGCCGATGCTTTGCAAATGACTTCACTTGAAGCTCCGAGAAAGTTTCTTGTTTCTCAAGAGAAGAGTGCAATCCATGATTGTATTGATCTTCCGTGGTGTTTGGGGCCCGATGCAGTGCCTTCTGTACATCAATAGTGTTGGCAAGGAATTTAGAACTGCACTGCTCCAGGAGAAATGTTAAACAGAGAGGGATCAAACGTCTGTCCTTTAAACGGCGAACCTTCAGCATCCCAGCCCTTCTTCAACATCTCGTGCACTTTCTAGAAACCATTAACAAATAACAAAGAATTTGACAAAAGTGGAAAAATTGCCATTTGTCCCAGCTTATGAAGAACATAAGCCACACACATAGCTCATTCACAGAATAGTGAACTGACACCTGAAGCAACTTTCATACATTTAGATTTAGGCAGCAAAATGAAGAGCCACAGGTAATGAGAACAATTCGGAGAAGTTAGGACAGTGGATTGGAAAATGATCTTATCAGAGTCCAACAGCAGCTCCAAGACCAATTAATCTAAAGATCCTCTCTCACGCAAGATCCACTGAATATGAATCAGGATCACATCAGCTCATTTGCAATATTAAAATATCCAAATTTGCAAAAAAATCTGTGGCTAAATTGGTATGTCATTCCAAGAGGCCTCAACGTCAGGTGCTGTAATAAATGGACATCTCACAGGACAGACTTTTAAAGGTTTCAATAAAATCACACTGCTACAGTGGCAAATAAAGAAGTTCAGGTATGGCTGACTTTGGAATGCAGTATTTTCAACTTCTGCATAGGACAGCACTCCACATGCAATGCTGCATGAGAATGACTCAGTTGTTCGCAGTCATACACCAAATTCAACACATCATATCAATAGCCCTTAACTCATCTGTAAATTTCTGCTTTGTCCACTCCTTTTCAAACCTTTACTCAACATTGGTTATTTTTTGTCACTGACTCGTCTGTCTAAATTTTACATTTGAACTTCAGACCAGTTAAGATAAAGGTGATTCTGTCAAGCAGACAAGGAGAGAAAAGCACAAAGCGAGATGAAAATAAAGGCCCAGGATCTTTCAGCCACTTTCCAAATACAAGGCCAAAAAGACCAAACTTGTTTGGTTTTGCCCAGAGAACACATGGCGGGGTAAAATCACATAAGCATGCCTTAAAATAGTTTTGAATGATCAAACTGGTTTGGCTGCCATTGCATTCTGCCATCAGCACAAATCTATACTTAGATGTAATTAAGACCTGTCTCCCGCAGAACATTTATCTCCAGTTAAATGCTTTGCCATGTCCACCGAAGCTGAGCGGGATTTCACCTCAAATCTTGCCATTTGAGTTGCAACTGAACATTTCGTTAACAATCACACTGTTGTTAAATTAAAGAAAGAAAACAGAATTTCTAAACCAGATTACGACAAGAACAAGATCATTTTGCCCAAATGAATTTTATCATTACTCATGCTGGCCACGATTCTCTGCCCACGGGGTGCGATATGAATTGAATGGTTCTATTCATTTCACCAGACAGGCCAATATCAAAACCATTAAGTTGAAGCAAAATTTGGTTGACCAACTAAGGCCTCATCACCAAACAAAATATTTATGCTATTTCACATGGAAATGAGTTTAAGGTGTAGGAACTGTTGACGGTAGTCTTACACAGTTACCACTTTGACCAGAGGAAAAATGCTACCAACAGCAACTGTAAAGCTCAGAATTCACACACCAAGTCAGGGTACTGTTACAGAAGATGAAGCCATTCTGACAACATCTTTCAGAGCCAATGCAAGACAAAAAGTAACAATCAAGCTGTTACAGAATCATAGAATCCGTGCAGCATGGAAGCAGGCCATTTGGCCCATCAAGTGTACAAAGACTATTTGAAGAGCATTCCATTCAAACCCACTTCCTTACCCTATCCCTGTAACTCTGCTTTTCCCATAGCTCATCCACCTAATCTACACATCGCTGGACAGTGTGGGCAATGTAGCATGATCAATCCACCTAACCTGCACATTTTTAGACCGTGGGAGGAAACCCATGTTGGTGAAGCTTCTTTTGCATGCTGAATTATAATCTCCTTTCATGAGTTCTATTGCGTATTTGACAAATTATTTCCTTACCATCAACTGCAAATAACTGCCAATTCAGCTTGCTACAGTAGTTAAACCTGCGCAGCTCATTTTAACATGCTTGCATTCCTGTGTTGTTTCCTTCCCTAGATCCCTGGGTTATCTATGTTAGATAATCAATGTCACCTATCCCTCAATTCAACAATGTCGTCCACTCAGGGTCAATGTTTGTGACTTAGGTCTTTAACAACTGACCAGCTCAATTTTCAATCTACACACCTTTGAACGCACAGTTAGTCATTCCATTAGGTCGCAGGATCCAGAGGATTTCCTTTCTTTTATTTCCTTCTTAGCCATCTTGCTACCCATCAAGGCAGTGACATGTCAAAGATGATGAAATTTAATTAAGTTGTCACCATTCTGAACCAGTAGCAGCAAGTCTGTGGTCAATGCTGCAGTTTCAAGAAAAACTTGAACAGATGTTCTAAAAGCTTTCAATTGTTTGTTTGCAATGTTGGTGAAATTTCTCTTGTACTTCTATATGTTGCCGATACACCAGCCATGCCTCACTGCAGCACAGGAGTATCGTGATGACAACTTCTCTGTGCACAGTCATTTTTGCCAAGTCCTACACCATCAGCAGATTGACAGCGGGGACAAGACAGCGAACTGGGCATCCCTAAGGAGCTAAGTAAAAAAAGCAAAGAACTGCAGATGCTGGAAATCAAAAACACAAACAGAAATGGCTGAAATAACTCAGTAGGTCTGGCATTCTCTACCCCAGAGAGGACAGAAGTGTTCAGTCACTCAGCATATTCAAGACAGAAGTAGATAGAACATGGATAACACCATCTAATCAATTCCAAAGAGCTGGTGCAGGAAAATGAGCTGAATGGCCATTTTTTGAACTGCACATTTTAAACGCAACAAAACTCAAGAACTGCGGATGCTGGAAATCAGAAACAAATCAGAAGTTGCTGGGAAAAGTCAGAAGGTATGGCAGTAAATGTAGAGACAAAGCAGAGTTAATGTTTCAGGTACCGTGACTCTTCTTCAGAACCGATTGCATCCAGGAAAGGTGGTATATATACTGAAAATGGAGTCAGATGGGGGCAGGAGTAGACAATAGTCAGACAGACCAAGGAACAGGTAAAGGTCAGCCTGGGAGAATAAATAGCTGCTAATGGGTTGGTTGTGGTTCCTTCCAACTCACTACCCAAAGGCCGGAGACAGATTCCAGTTGAAGCTGCTATTTACTTGCGCTTGACTCAATCGCGTGCTCACAATTAGGTCTGCTCTACATCGGGGAGATGAGACGCAGATTGGGCAACCGCTTTGCAGAACACCTGCGTTATGTTTGCAATAATGACGAAGCTTCAGGTTGCCTGCTGTTTCAACAGACTACAGTGTTCCTTGGCCAACATCTGTGTCTCAGGTTTGCTGCAGGGCTCCAATGAAGCTCAGCATAAACTGAAAGAACAGCTTCTCATCTGCCACTTGGGGGCCTTGCAGCCTTTAGGACTCAATATCCAGTTCAATAATTTTAGGGCCTCAGCATCTTCTCCGGTGTCCATGCCCCAATCCCCCACACCAAGCCTTGTCATCACCTGGGTTGCTACCACAACAACCCACTATCAGCTATTAACGGTCCTCAATAGCAGCTACTGATTCTCCCAGGCTGACCTTTGCCCATTCCTCGGCCTGCCTGACTGTTGTTCTGTCTCTCTGCGATCCATCTCCAATTATTATTTGCTCCTCCCACCACTCCCACTCCTCAGCATACATACCCAGCTTTTCTGAGCTACAGTTTTGAACAAGGATCACTGGACCCAAAACGTTAACTCTGCTTTTTCCCCACAGAAGCTGCCACATCTGCTGAGTTTTTCCAGCAAGTTATTTATATCCCTAATCAGGAATCTGCACACAGGTGACACATGCATCAAGGTTCTTGTAGTGGGACAGACAAGTGTTCTTCAGCAGAAATCTGGAACGAAGCTATCTTCTTGAATGCTCTACTCAGCATGATGGCAAGAGGGCTTAGAAAGATGTTTTGGAAGATACAAACCCATTTTCTTTTGATTGGGAAACCACACCCAGCAGCATCAACAAAAATATCAATTAACAAAGAAAACATTAAGTGTTGCAACCGGTCATGTTAGAAAATTTGTGGACTTCACAGGAATAGTCACATAGAGAGGAAATACATTTGATCTGGATTACATTTGTCACCTAATTTTGCCTCAGCTAATTTAAAAAAAAAAGATTATGACAGAGACTAAGTGAAAAGAACTCTATCATTTCACACAATTACATGCTGTTGGTACAAACACACAGCAGATACTTCGGCTAGCAAACCTGTTCCCAGGTAGAAGTGAAAATTCAAAGGAAAAATAAAAAACCCAAGTGAGATCTTCAAAGGGAAAACTCTGATGGAGGTACTGAACAACACAGTAAATTCATAACTAAGTATTTTTTAAAACTTCTTTTGGGCATTAAAACTTGCAGTTATCAAGGGGAAGAAAAACAGACAGATTTTCTTTCCAGCCAAACTTGCAGCCAATCCATTAGTTTTATATGGTGCACATCCCTATAAGCTTTTCCCATGATAGATTTCGATTTTCAAAATCTGTGATCAAAATAAAGGGGTGTGGACAGAGAGCAAAATTTTCAACATTCATGTCTTTTCAGAAAGGTGTTCAAGAATCAGCAGCCATTTCCCCATTCTTGAGCACTTGCTTACCGTTTCATGGCTCTGTGGTTTGCCCTGCATTTTCTGATGATAATCGAAAGTTAGTCTGTCCAAAACTGCATGTTCCTCCTCATCCACTGTTGCCATTGACCGCTCTTTGTTTATCTTGTCTATGTCGATCGTCTCTTCACCTTCAAGAATTGCATTCCACCAATATTCACCATTTTTATTCAGGTTTATCTGTCAATAAAACAAGTATTGCAAACCAGATTATTTCCTCTGTAAAACTGAGCATCAAAAAGCACCTGGGGGTAAAAGGTGGCCATGTCCAACATGTCTCCGATGGACTGATACACTTGCCCAGTCAAAGGCAGGCAAGAAAATCGCAGTGAGGTACGTTTAACTTTACCCATTTGTAATGTATTTATTGTTCATGAAAAGCCCTTGGTAATTCAATATCCGCATGAAAGAACAGATGATGTTAAAACAAAGGGAAAGATCCTGCAGAAATCATAACTACATTTGTTTTAAACCACTTGATATCTTGTAGGTTAGAGAGAAGTAATAAGTTTAGAATGCACCGATTTCAATGCGTGAATCGTTGAGTAGAGTAATCTGAAAAAGCAACACTCTTGGCTCGCAGGTCATTCTTGTCTAACCCCTCATATTGCAGTCATGAAAGGATTGCTAAACTCAAGTTTGCCACAAGCTAATCTCAAGCTTAACATAAAATACGACAAGGATTCTCTCTGGCAATATTTTCTTTTTCATACATGCTTAACATAGTGGCAAAAATTGATGTTCCTGATGGTTGCAATTTCATGACTCAACTGGAAACAGTGTATTGATAATCGAACTCTCAATTCCACACGCCGTCACAAACATCTAAGTATCCAAATAAACCATAATGATAATTTACCTCACCCTGTTATTCAGGACAAAACTAAACTACGTCGGGTTTTGCAAGAAACAGAAACCCACATATTTGTTGTTAACAACTAATGTGATGACAACTGGCTGAAAACACATTAATTTACTATTGTGGGACTTAAGCTAGAGCTCTTTCAGACCCCAAGTATACATACATCCTTCACAACGAAGAGACAAAAACCACATGGTTTGACACAAATATGATGGGTGGAAAAATAAATTCTGTAGATCCCAGTCCAGACCATAAGAGTGGGTTGAATTAATTCTCACAGTCTTAGGATATTTCAGTAACAATGACACAATGTTTTCCACACGAAAACAGTCAATTTTCAATTCAATATTCAACCAATTGGATGTCAGTCTTTTCTTCTTGTAGAATTTTTTGCCTAGAGTCTCTAGGTATTTGAGGAACAACAAACAGACGTTGCTGGAAAAGCTCAGCAGGTCTGGCAGCATCTGTGAAGAACAAAAGAAGAGTTAACTGTTCTGAACTGTTCCGAGGAAGGGTCACCGGACCCGAAATGTTAACTCTGATTTTTTTCTTCACAGATGCTGCCAGACCTGCTGAGCTTTTCCAGCAACGTGTGTTATTATTCCTGATTTACAGGATCTGCAGTTCTTTCCGTGTTTCTCTTGGTATTCTGTCTTTTTTTCCTTTCAAAGAGAAGTGGTAAGAGATGTTTCTTGCTTGGAGGCTTCTTGTTGTCCCTGGGTACAGTGTCTTACAGGTTTGTGAAACTGCAACTTGAAAAGCAAAGTCAGAAGCTTGTTACGTTTCCCTTAGCCCAAAGATTCTTGGTACTTCCCTCTTGCAAATTATCCACCTCCGAAAGTAACAATCTCATGTAGCTGAACTGTAAACCACACAATCCCACTTGACCTTCAAGTTAGAAAATAACTTATCCTGGGATTATTTTAGCTGGACAGCAGTGTCCAACTTGCAGTTTTTCTTTTAAAACTATGGGGGATATTGACTGATATAAACCAAAAAAGATGCTGTGTAAGGTCTCGTTATGAAGACAACCCATCATATCAGAGTTAAGTCATTCAACAGGATTCAACATTACAGGCATTTGACTCCACCTCCTGTGCGTTTTGAACTCTGCCTAAAATGTATTGAGTTCTCATGCAGCTACCTCCAAAACAAGACAAAAACAAATGGCCATTCAATTTATCAAGCCTGAAACAATCATCCAAGTAATATTTTGCTTTTAACTTTTCTGCCCAGTCTTTCTAAGATACGAGTTAGCTATCAAAACTTGTGCAGAAATTGTGGTACTTTTTTTGCTGAGAATTAATGCACTATTTTAGAGCTTCTTTGTGAATCTGAAATTGCAGCAATTTTTCTTCAGAAACCAGGACAAGAAAGACAGTTTAAAAGACTCAAATAATAAAACCAACAACTTTGCCAGCAATCTGCTAAATAAATCACAAATGAATGGAAAAATAAAATTCAACCAGAGAACTGGATACAAGTCACTGTAAAGAGGGGTTCTGAGGAACAGTCACCGGACCCAAAACGTTACCTGTTCTTTCCTTCACGGATGCTGCCAGATCTGCTGAGCTTTTCCAGCAACTTTGTTTTTGTTACTGTAAGGAGGGCATCTTTTTACACTTCCACACTTTTGATTGTGGATTAAAACAGGAAAAAAACAGTTTTTGAAAAACAAGGATTGTTGAAAGATGTGCTATGTTCGCCGATGACTACACAGTGACCAGCATCTTTTGTGACTTCTCAGATACTCAAGGAGTCCATGTTCAGTTGCATCAGGATCTGGATAACATCCAGGCTTAGGCTGACAAGTAACGTGCACACCACACAAATGCCAGGCAATAAACATCTCCAACAAGAGACAATCTAACCAACACCCCTTGACATTCAATGGTGTTATGGTCACTGAATCCCCCACTACCAACAAACTAAACTTAACTCATTACATATAAACAGTGGCTATAAGAGCAGGTCAGAAGGTAGGAATACTGTGGCAAGTAACTCACTTCTCGACTCTCCATCCACAAGGCACAAGTGGGGAGTGTGATGGAATACTCCCCACTTGCCTGGATGTGTGCAGCTCCAACAACACTCAAGAAGCTTGAAACCATCCAGGACAAAAGAGCTCGCCTGGCTGGCATCACATCCACAAACATTCAATCCCTCCACCACCAACGCTGAGCAGCAGCAATGTGCACTATCCACAAGATGCATGGCAGAAATTCACTGAAGATCCTTAGGCAGGATATTCCAAACCCATGCCCACTTCCATTTAGAAGGACAAGGGCAGCAGATATATGGGAACACCACCACCTGCTAAGATCCCCCACAAGCCACTCATCGTCCTCACTTGGAAATATATTCTTGTTCCTTCACTGGTGCTGGATCAAAATCCTGGCATTATGGGTCAACCTACAGCAGTGACTGCAGCACTTCAAGAAGGCATCTCACCACCACCTTCTCAAAGGCAACTAGGGTCAAACAATAAAATGCTGGCCAGCGATGCCCGTGTCCTACTAGTGGAAAGAAAATTAACTCGGAACCAGTAACCCTGCCCCTCCAGCAAACAGGTGAAAGTATCTAGACAAGGAAGATTAAAAAGCAGCGTTCTGATCAGCACAAGAAACATCTCAGCAAGCCGTAACAAATAGGAACAGGAGAAGGCCGTTCAGCCCCTTCAACCTACTCCACCATGCATTAGGATTACTGGCTCATCCAACATTCCCGACATCCACTTTTGTGCATTTTCCTGTGGGCACGGACCACTGAACTGCCTTCCCAGTTTTTACCCCACCTGTATCTGATTGTAGAGGAGCATTTATGTAAGTGTCAAGAGTTTTACCTAGTCGTGTTGTATGTTTACTGTAGCTTCAGTCTATTTCCATGATAATAAGTAATAATTTTTGTTACGTTCAGAAAGCTGGTTTGTGCTTTCTGTCAACCTGGGTGTGAAACAAAGGTAAATTGGGTAATTTGGTGCGTTTTCTAAAAATCTTGAACTTTGTTGATGACTCCTAGAATAGCAAGGTCTGACTTCCAGCACGCTACCCCAGTTAGGGTTATCCAGTTATTTCAGAGCAAAGCCATGTTAGAAAATAAAGAGGAATAACTAAAGCAAATAATCCAAGTTCTCACCTTCAAAACATGAAGTTGACTTTGATGAGAACTGATTTAAACATGGAAGACTTGCTTGGAGGAAGCTTAGCCCATCTTTCACATGAGACTCCATTTTGAAACCCAGTACTTATTTTGGCATGCATTCCACTGCCTGAGGCAGACTAAGTGCTTGTGCAATGCATCCCATATTAGTAACAAAGAAACCGATGCACAGTCCAGATGCTTTGTTGTCTGTGGATGGGAAATTGCAGCAGTTGGCCTTCAAGTTGGTCAGATGTGTTGGGAATGCTTGCCTCTGTACTGAACTATAATTCAACAAAAAACAGGGACTCTGGTAGTGTCCTGATCTCTGAGCCAAGAGGCCTGGATTCAAGTCCCACCTGCTCCTGAGGTGTGTGATAATGTGGCTGAGGGGGTTAATTAGGAAACATATAGAAAAAAACGTATTTGAAATATTATCCTCCAAATGCAAACCTTTGTACAAGTCACATCCAGAATTCACGATAAGCACCCAAAGTTTCCCTTGCGAATATCGTGGTTCAGTGATGCAAGAGCATCTCCTGTGCACACCCATTCCACCACTGCATCATCCATACTGAAGAAAAATACTCACAACAAGGTGACAGACATGGAAACCTCATGCTCATTTTGTAAATCTCTGGGTTACGATAACAAACATGTTTGCTAAAGATCTAAAATAATTGTATTGCTCAATAATTTTCCTGTTGCACATTTAGTCATCACTACGTAGGAGTAATCTAAATTAACGTGAGTGCGGATATCATTCAAGTTGGACAATGCAATTTCAGCTGTGCGTGCAGTTAAGCCACTCATCACCATTGGACACCATCATTCAATGAGGATGTGATCAGAATTCAACGTGTCAGAAAATGAAGAAAAATTAAGGCAAGGAAAGACAAGAGAATTACAATTGAAGTTATAGATTACAAAACACCAAAATTGAAGTTATCTCAGACAAATGATGGCTGCAGCAGCATACATGTTATTAAATACCACTCAAAGGGAAACTGATTATAACAGGGGCTTTTGTGGCTTTCGTAAACAATATATTTTCCACACAGATGGCTTTTAGAACAGACAGCTTTATGAAATAATAGCACCTCACAGAAACCCTCAAACTTCCATTAATCACCAGGCACAAAGCTGAATGGAAAACTGACCATTTGGCAAAAGTAATACT